CGGAAAACTAGAAGATGGAGGTATAGGTGTGATAGATATTGAATTAAAATTTAAGGCCTTAAAGGCGGCATGGGCTAGATACTTAATAGATAAAAATTGTATAATCGGCGAAATAATAAGAGGATATTTAAATCGTCTTAATATTGATATCAACTATCTATTATCGTTATCGGAGACGAAACCCCCAGACTTTAAAGTCATTTCAAACCTTTCGGTTTTTTATAAAGAAGTATTTTGCAGTTTTAATGAATGTAAAAGATACATCGATGAAACTAAATTGTCTAATATAAGTTTTGCTCAGCAACTAATATGGTATAATAATATGTTTAAATATGAAAACAAAACATGATGTTTTAAAAATTGGATCAAAAGTGGGATAACACATATTAAAGACCTTTTTAACAAAAATGGAAAATTTAAAACTCTACAAGAATTGTCCGTTGATTTAAAACAAAAATCAAATTGGATGTGTGAATACAAAATATTAAAAACAGCAATATATAAAAAATCTCTAAGATTCAATATGACTAGCTGTGCATACATAGAGAATATAGGGAAGCGTCATTTTAATTTTGTAAATGGTGTATATTGTACTGAAGGTAAAAAATGTAAATATTTTTACGATAATTTATTCTTTAAGAAATTTAAAGCCCCAAGCCATCAATTAATGTATAAAAAATTATTTTCTGTTGCTCAAGAGAGTTGGAAGGATATATATAGAAACTAGAGCCGAGCTCGTTGCAAAGCAACGAGTAGGTCTTCCGTCCTGTTTGACCGGAAGTAACTTTTATATAAAAAAAAAGAGTAATGAAGTCCAAAAATGGGTTAATCCTCCAAATCTATGTTAATTATAGCAAAATTAAGCCATTCTCTGGTACTTCCGGTTTGACCGGAAGTTACGACGACGGACAGAAAATTAATATTTAAGCTTCTAGTGAGACATGTTACCCAAAAACCTGTCAAAAACAGCAAAAATATGCATTTTCTGACTACTTCCGGTTCGACCGGAGGTGATGGAGGGACGGAAGTCCGTCTGGAGCTGGACGGACTCTACATCCTACTGAGTCCAGTTACCATGGACTCTTACAACAAACAGAGCATGGAGGAGATGGAGCTGAAACTCAAACAGGCCATGCTCAAGTCACTGGATCCCTCAGTCCTTCAGAAAGTCTGTGAGTATCACTCAAAGTAGTAAACTCTTGACAGACAGTTCACTCAAACTGGCCATGCTCAAGACACTAGATCCTTCAATCCTTCAGAAAGTATGTATAAGTATCACAAAGTTAACTCAAACAGGCCATATTGTCATGTTTATTGTGTGTACCTTTCATAAAACCCGTGCTATGTGAACTTTGATGTGTTCTGTTTCCCTTGCTGGGTTGATTATTCACCGATAAAAAGAAATTATTTAAACCACACACTTGGCACAAGTAAACAAATAAAAGAAATTAATCCGTTTAATGACAAAGTCTAACGCACAAATATTGTCAGGAAGTCAAAATGACGTTGGAGTTTTGCTCAATTTAACTGTAGACAAGGCAGATCAAACGTCTTTGTGCATATTTGAGACAAATCTGTGACGCCCTTTTCCCTTTTAATGACAATTTAATGCCTTTTTAACCCCGTAACAACTCAGATTCAGTTATGAGAATGTATTATTTATTATAGTGACATGAGATAGATTATATTAAATATATAAAAAAAGACAAATACTTAACACCCGGCCCAGTCACCTGGATTCAAATCTTACATTTTCTTCACGGATCTACATGTATGTACATAATATGTAAATCGTTAATATTAATTGTGCTCCTCAGAATGACATAGTTTACCTATCAAAATAAACTTTTATTGTCAAAGACAAATGTCCATATCAATGATAAAGACTAGAAATGCTCTTGCTGGTCATGTTGGTCAATCTGCACTGTTTGTCGGGTATGATTCGTCCACTTTCATTGACCTTTAGTTATTTCCCCTGCAAAAACTGAGAATGTGAATGAGGAAAAGTCCCCTTTTAGAAGAAGGATATGGAGATAACGAACAGTATTCAATCTCAAAGTCCATAAGACAATACAAAATAAGAGCAGAGCAAACACGGACACCCAAAACATCAGAGGTGGGATCACGTGCCATGAAGAAGTGAGTATCCCCTGCCGACCGGTCACCCCCGCCGTGTGCTCGTTGTCATGATCAGGAAATGACGGGAAAAATCCATTGTCAATTCAGTGTATAAATGCTGGACTAACAATTGGTATAAAAACGTCAGTCAGCATCTGACTCAATGATAAACTGTATTTGCTGACAAGGTCATTGTATCGACCATAGAACTTGCAAAATTATGACTTTAAACGAGATTGCTGATATTTTTGTTATACCAACTTGCTTGTCAATAATTTACCTCGTTTAAGAAATTGTTCATACGTAGAGCATGCTCTTGCGTATCAAATCAACTGAAATATATATTTTTGAGAGTAGATTAATGTAGTAAGAAACAGAAGCGAACAGTTTAATATTTTGTACGGATAAAAATTAAGATAAGTCTCGAAATTACATGTACTTTCATAGAAGACTTTATACTACTTAATATTATAAAAATATTGACAGGTTGACACATCTAAAGGCTGAGTGGGCCAAATTCTGTGTTCAAAAAATTCATCTGTAAAGCAAATATTTGTCGGTCTTTTCCATATTGTATCTTATAAAGTTTACATACATAAAAAGAACAATTTCAAAATAAGTTGGATTTGATATCAAAAAATAAACACATGTATATCATAGAACAATAAACATTAAGTAAGGACAACAGAATTGAAAACTTGTTATACCCCCCCCCCCCCCCCCCCCCCCGCTTGAAAAGTAGGAGGGTATATAGTAATCGGGATTTCCGTCCGCCCGTCTGTTACGCCTTATCTCTTACCCGCAACTCCTCTCATACTACTTAGTGAAATCTAATGAAACTTTCACAAAATCTTTATTACATATTGCCATTGTGCACCTCCTAGATTACTTTTTTAATCGACATGTATTTTAGGTTTCCCATCGCAAAACATGGACATTGCCATTATGTATTTGCCTATGACGTCACATATAGAAGCTTCTGGATAACATTTGATAGGACGAGTTATTGCTCATTACACATTACCGTAAAACAATATAGCAACACATGGACATTTTTGGAGCCGGGGTGTCATTTAGTAAGCTCATTGCACACAGTACCTCTAGTTTTGTTTTTTATAAGCACATTTATTCATGTTGATTACCAAAAAAAATCTTACGTTTACTGGTCTGTTAATTGAAAATGAAAAATAAAAAGGGATGTTAGCCTTTTAAAAAATTCAAAAATCAATTGTTTTAAAAAGAACAATGGGATGTGGAAAAATTAAACAAAATTTGTAGTGTCCGCAAATCAGTTTACGTATGACTTATTTTGTAGTCTACCGGATATTTCCGGGTTTGCAGTTTAGTTTTGTGTATTAGATTTAAGAACTCCATGCTGGCGTTTGATGAAGTGCATGATTGCAGCTACAACCTAAATATGTTGTATTTGTCCATCCGGCCAAGAGCGCATTGTAAGTTGATATGTTTGCAAATGTTTAAAATAATAATGTAATATTTGATTTTGCGTAATGTCGGCACAAGTGTCCTACATTGACTTTGTGTATTTTCTAGTCGTTTCTAAAAATAGTAGATTTATATTTTATAGTTTATGATTTTGCATTGATATATTTTAGTGTTGTCAACGAGTACCCAGTTCACCTGTTAACCGTCGAACGATGCGAGAATCGATTAGAAAAACTACTATTCGGTTACTCGGAAAAAATACATTATTCATATTAAATACGTATAAAATAAATTTTATGTTATTTGTAAATGTATATTGACACATTTCCCTAATTTATTAACCGTAAGGCTGGCCCTAGTTGTTCACAAAAAGGATTAATTTGTTTTGATTAGTTTAATTGATGGCTTAAATTGCCAGTGGTACGCGTTTAGAAAGCCTGAGTTATAATGACCTCATTTTAATAGACCTGTGTTAGAGGAACACACTTTAACAAGATTCTGCCGAAAAATCAAAAGCGTGGAAATTTTGGTAAAGAAACCTGTCAAATTTAAATTATGAGTGTATGAGCCCTGCACGGGTGGAACTGCAAATATGCTAAATTACTTTAGATTGAAACATAATACGATAACCAGCGACTTGCAGGAGCTCAAAAAAAAAAAAAAAAAACAGCCGGCATTTACAGAATATGTTGATTATCCTCGATCGCGACATATATATATTCTTCATATGTTGATATAATTATTTTCTTTAACAAAAGTTAACTACCCGTTTCAAAGTGACATTTAAAACCAAAAAAGATATTGTGTGTTGGTTTTTTTGAGTTCATATACACAGCTAATTGTGCCACATACGTTTCACGTACGTTAAACGTATGTGACACGTACGTGACTTTACGTACGTTTTCCATGAAAAAAGTACCACGTACGTGATACTTATGTTTTCACACATGTGAAAATCATGCGTGTCACGTATGTTAAACATACGTTTTGCCTACCATACGTTACACATATGTTACTCATACGTTTCACATATGAATAACGTACTTGCAACATGTGTGTAACATATGTTTCTCATAATATGTTTAATGGGTTTATTATTTTCACTGCTCATATTGTAAATGTATATTAAATACCATACAAAAATGTGTCAAACGTTGGTTAAACACATGTTTTGAACATTTTTTTCACATATTGTAAACGTTGGTGAAACAAAAATTACGTGCAATTTAAATATTCAATTCATGCATTTGACATAATTTCCCTCAAAGGCTTATTTTCTTCTCATCTGTTGAATGATCCACTTTCTGGTTATCCCTCACATTAAATTTCCTGAATCTAATTGCTCTTGAAGAAATCACAACAAAAGACATATATAGATTTAAGCCAAATTTAATGTTGAGTATGTTAACATCAATTCATTCTTCTCCAGTTCTCTTTTATCTGTAAAGAAAAAGAAAATGCGAAATGCATGGAATAAGGGAAAACCCATTATTTCCCCCCTGAACATTATTATTATTCACATATTAATCCTGGTAGAACTTAACTAGAACTGTCCAAATGGGACAAAATACCCCCTGCTGGGTTTTTCAGAAGTAAGTATTTCCATAATAAAGATATGTATCAAACACGAATTATGAAATTTTTCTACCAGTGACCTTGAACTTCTCCAAATAACCTTGGGTCAAGATCATGACACACCCTTAGGTCATGGGCAATCTTTGTGTGGAATGAGACCCTCACAAGTGGCTCCATAAGAAAGATATGGACCCGACATGAACTATGAAATTTTTCTTCCAGTGACCTTGAACTTCCCCAAATGACCTTGGTTCAAGGTCATGACACACCCTTGGGTCATGGGCAATCTTTGTGTGAAATGAGAACCTACCAAGTTTATCCGTAAGAAAGATATGGACCGGACACAAATTATGAAATTTTTCTTCCAGTGACCTTGAACTTCCCCAAATGACCTTGAGTCAAGGTCATGACACACCCTTGGGTCATGGGCAATCTTTGTGTGAAATGAGAACCTACCAAGTTTATTCATAAGAAAGATATGGACTGGACACAAATTATGAAATTTTTTCTTCCAGTGACTTTGAACTTCCCCAAATGACCTTGCGTCAAGGTCATGACACACACTTGGGTCATGGGCAATCTTTGTGTGAAATAAAAAAACTTCTAAGATTATCCATAAGAAAGATATGGACTGGAGACAAATTATGAAATTTTTCTTCCAGTGACTTTGATCTACCCCGTATGACCTAAGGTCAAGGTCATGACACACCCTTGGGTCATGGGCAATCTTTGTGTGAAATGAGAACCTACCAAGATTATCCATAAAAGATATGTATCAAACATGAATTATGAAATTTTTCTTCCAGTGACCTTGAACTTCCCCAAATGACCTTGGGTCAAGGTCATGACACACCCTTAGGTCATGAGCAATCTTAGTGTGGAGTAGTAGATTCTAATGTCCCTCTGTAAGAAAGATATGGACTGGACACGTTTGCATAGACAGACGGACAGCTAAACAGACAAACAGAAGGACAAGGTGATTCCTATATACTCCCTAAACTTCGTTTGCGGGGGGTATAAATATAAATACTAAATAACTATTATTATTTTTTTAGTATTCATAACCATGATCTTTTAAACTATTTTTTTTTCTCTATATCCTCAAATATCTACCTTGTAATTCTCTAATCTAAAATTCATTAAATAGCATTTATTTGTGGGTGACCTCCAAAAAAAAAGATGTGTTTGTTATAACATACTGATACCCCATATGCCAGCTTATGGTTTAAGTTACCCGATTGCAAGTCAAACTCCAAAGTCAAGGTCAAAGGTCAAAATTGTTGACATCAAAGGAAGGACTTGTCACAAAGAATAAATCTGTGAAATATGAAAGCCGTACTACTATCAGCTTAAAAGTTATGATCAAAGTTAAAGTTTTTTAACAGTGGGTTAAACTAGAAGTTCAAGGTCAAATGTTTTAATTTATACCCATTGAAAGGTCTTGTCACAGTAAATATACAAGTGAAGTATAAAAGCCCTTGCACCAGCTGTTCAAAAGGTAAGGCCAAGATTCAAGTTATGAAACTTTCTTAAAATTGAGTCATACTCCAAGTTCAATTCAAAAGGTTAATTTGGTGTACCAGTACAAAAGTATTGTCACAATGAATACCTAGGTCTGTGAAATATGAAAGCTATACTTTCACCCACTAAAATGATATGGCCAATGAAAAGATTTTGCAGACAGACAGACAGGCAAAAGCTATATAGATGTACCCCAGAATCTTTGATTATGGGGGTATAAAACTTGTTGCTCATTGTCATGAACTTAGTCCTTTTGCTTTCAACTTAGGAGCTTTATATAGATTTTCAATGAATCAATGCATTTTCAGTTTATGATTAATTAATAAAGCTGTGCCTTTACATCTGATCCACCTATCCTGGGGCTTTATCAATTTCATAATTTTAGTAGGACTCAATGCTTATTAAAATATTAAAATCTTGCTTACAGTTTGCTTGATGTCCAATTAAAAAAATACAATTTTGAATACTTTTAATGGGATAACCCCCCCCCCCCCCCCTTCGGTTTGGTGGGGGGGGGGGGGGGGAAGAAACTGTAAATGCTAAAATTTTACCAGACAGAGCACAGTGTATGACGATGGACAACAAGAAACCCAAGGGCCTTGAATCCCTCTTCTGATCAATTGTACAATCTATCACAGGTATTTGAAGCCTCTAAGTTTATAAGACCCAAAATACATCAACCGAGAAATTTGATGATTCTTAGCCAGTTAGGACTGAAGATTATTCAATAGAGCAATAAAAAAATCATAAGTAGGTCATGGTGACCTACTTTTTGGTTGACATTCTCCAAAAACCCTAGATGCCTCAACTGACAAAGTTTAACTATTCTAGGCCAATATAAAGTTCTCTTGGTCTTATTTTCCTGATTATCTCCCCTTGTATAAGGGTCCAAACCCTAGTTTTAGTATAAATGGTACCCCTTGGGCCAAGGATGCCCTCTGACAAATTTGACAATGATTGCTCGAGTTATGGCCCACATTCTAAAAAGTTTATGCTCACCGCACAAATGGCCATAGCATTAGCTCTTTGAGCCTATTGCTCAGAAGAGCTAAAAACAGTATACATGTACACCCATTTACTGGCTATGAGGACAATAGCTAGTTTATCATCCCCCAAGACAGCAACTATTCCCCAAGATGCAGCCGAGGGAAATAGTTTGCTGTTGAGGGAGATGATTAACAAGCTATTTTCCGAATAGTAAGTAAATTGATGTTTTATTATGGCACCTGATCCCACCTCTGATGTTTCGGGGGTCCGTGTTTGCTGTTCGTTATCTCCATATCCTTCTATTATACTGAAGCCGACTTAACTTATATGTAAGGTCCAATCTGGATGTAACCAAGAGTTGTGAAATGAAAAATTGAACTTACCTTCTGCATTAATCTTTAGCTTGGCATGGACCCATCTGTTTTTGTGTGTGTTCCAATTGTATACTTTTTGTCCTTGAGGTTAAAAAAAATATATGTAAAAAAATAGACGACTTTCACATAAAATTTTACAAAAGTTATTCCCCTTTGCGGGGTCAATCCGGCGTAAGGCCCCGTTTTCCCTCTGTAACCTTACCAAATTTATTGGTCAGTATCTTCAAAATAAAATCTGTAATGAATATGTTCATTAAGATATTCATGTTGACCAAACTTTGGCAATACAGGTACAGATCTAAATTGTCCAAAAACATTTGAGGATTGATAAAAATAACAGGTAACTTACAAAGGACAAAGTGGGAAAAACGAGAGTTACGCCGACAAGGGGAGATTCGTCTTAGTAGTGTGAAATTCGTCAAACTCAATTGCATTTCAAATTTTACATGAAAAGCTTCAAGTTACATGTAGTATTTGCAAGTCTAAAAGCAAAATGATCAGAAAATCTAATATTCCTTTTTAAAAGTATTACCATATTAAAGATTATGCTGGTTAAACTTTCAGAATCTGTTTTGAAGTCCATTCTAGACATTTAGGTGTTTACAAACATGAGCTTCAGTCATCATCCTGGAAAGCATATCTTAAATCACATAAAAATTCACAATCTCAAACACAATTTATTTCATAAGAAAGGAAAAGGGCAGATATTTAAAACAAAACTGTTACACCATTATTGCCCTCTAAGATAATAATTCCCTTTACCATATGTAATGTGATGTTTAAAATTCTGTAAAAAGAAGTAAATTCAGTGAGTGGAACTTTACATCAAATTGTTGTTGTTTCTTTTTTTTTGCATCATATTTATTAGGTTAAAACATTTTAAATAAATACTTAATTGTTATTACAGTATTTTTAAGCTTCACCTGTATTTTGATATAACGTGCCCGTGTTGATAAATACACCTGGGTGCTGACCACGACAGCTCACTACCTCAACATGGTCAATATTTTCTGTTTTTGGTAACCCAAGTCTCCATTATGTAATACACTAAAAAAAAAAACACCCCCTTAGTTTACATGCAACACACAGTTATAAAGTAATTAAATAATTGTTGGTTTTATACATTCCTCAGCGTTAGCTAGGCCATAGAACTTGCAGACTTCAGACTTCTCTTACCAGTGACGTCACTGGTAACGTACATGTAATACATAAATGGAGGCTGGAAAATTCCGGAAGGTATATTTTATAAGTTTTATACGGACGGTACGCACTGTATATTTAAAAATTATCTAGGTAAATCATTTGCTGCCTTTGAGCATCTTCCCAAGTCAATTTCTGATCCGCTCTGCTCCACATAAACCCTAGGCTCAGTTTGACGGGGTTAGAAATGCGTTCTCTGACTGGCCTCATGCAAGTTTACATGAACCAATCAAAATCATTGTTTTATATAATCTGATACTAAATCGTAAACAGAAAAACGCGTCAGATTTAGTCCTAAGGATAACGTATTTTTCATTAGATAGCCCTTTTAAAGGTTTGTCCAAGTTTTTTTAGTTGAATTATATTGAATTTATCCCGAATTTGCTGTTGAATTCGTTTACTCTGATTGGCTAATAGCAGAGGTCAGGAGAGTTCAAAATATGTAATCTCACTAGATGGCGTGTCGGTAAACCCCGTCAAACTTCGCCTTGACTCGGGAAGATGCCTTTTGAGATTTGTTGTGAAATTATCGCGAATTTCTTTTTTTTTAAATTTAGTTTTGCTCTTGAATTCGGATTGGTTATATCTACCGATGACCAAGTTCAATTTTATGTGCCTCTACCGATATCCGATACACATGATGAGATTGGAGAACTTTTTATGTAAACTTTATTAGCTGTTTTTAGAGTAAATTTTAAAACAATGCAAACTGATAACATTATGCCAGACATGACAGTGGACGTAAGGTAAACAATGTGAAATAAATTGAAACATTAAATACGCAAAACACACACAACAAGTCAACAACGCACACACATGTGAGCTTCAGTTGTGAACGGGTTTAACCAAATATCATAATAATGTTTATGTCAAAAAAGATATCTTAGATTTTAAATAGTATAATTATTCAAATACATGCAACTTCTGATCTAAGGACCCGTTATACTTGCTATAAGAACTTAGAAGGATTTTATAGATGATCATATTACTATGATTGCTCTTCTTCCTGAATAACAGGTTAAGCCCTAAGTGCCTATTAATTGTTATGTTAAATAATATCTTGATTATACTTCTCCAAAATCACTTAGACTATTAAGGAAAATAGTTAGTTGTGGAAGTCAGCCATACTTTTATACAAAAAGTTCCTGTATTTTAAACGAAATTATGTAGTCCCTAGCAACAATAAATGTTTAACGCATTGTTTTTTTTTCTCTTTAAAGCAAAAACTAAATGATAATTTGATTAATAAATAAACTTTGAAATAAAATAAAAAGGATCATACATGTATGTAATAGTATAAATTTACAAAATATACAGGCTTTTCATTCTCAAACATAGCTTTTCAAACATGTAAGACACCTTTTTACCGGTAAATGAAACATGTGCCTGATATTACACATACTATATTCATCAACATATATGTAATGAGAGTGTAGTGGACAGTATATAGGGAACTTATACTGCCTCACCAGTGAGCTACCTTTTCTGGTGATGCGGTAGAATCTCCCTCTATTTCAGGCAAGTTAAGCAACGGCGAGCCTGTTTAACCCTTGGATGGGTGACCTCTTCACGTTACAAGAGCTTTATAATTCAAGTTAACCATAATTTATTTATGTACATTAGTATATTTAAGTGATTTATAGTACAAATAAACTATACATGACATTTGTGCTTTATAAAACACGTGTAAACCTTGAGTTCAGTAACGTACGTGTAACGTGGTTTATAATACGCATGTAAACCATGTGTTCATTAACATACGTGTAACATGTGGTTGACATTACACATGTAAACCGTACGTTTATTTACGTACGTGTAACGTATGGTTGCACATAACATATGTTACACGTACGTTTCACGTATGTAGCACATACGTATATTCCAAACATACGTTTAACGTACGTTATGTGAAACGTATGTAGTCACACATATGTAAAACGTACGTTGTACCACATACGTGAAACGTATATTTGTAATACACGTATGTGATACGTACATTTCACATATGTGATACATGTGTTATGTGCAACCATATGTAACACGTACGTGGCACAATTAGCTGTGTATATTATTTTTGTTGTTGATTTCTTCCAATTCCAATTTCTTCCAATAAGCAAAATGATGATATTAATAATAAAAAAGGAAACTTTAACATGAAATCATCCGAGTAACCGGGTACTCGATCGGAAGATTAAGCAAGTAACCGGTTACAGAAAATCGTCCGATTTTCCAACACTAATATATTTGCATAGTCTATTTATGAGATGTTGTGAGATATTGCGAGATATTATGAGTTATTATCACAATGAATTTAAGTGGACTTTAGTCTAAATCTATTCCTGTAATTTTCAAAATGTATGCAAATCAGATTAATGGCAATTTATTGGTTATCTAGTCAGTATATTTGTTATGTGTACGATTTTCTGTGATGTGATTACATTGTATGTACAAATTTATTTTGTATGTTTCAGCCTTTCACCACGTTCTTCAATAAACTTGAAACACGGTTTGATTGGCTGGTTCATCTGCTTAAACGCAGTAACAAATTAAAAAACAAAACTGTTCAAAACTGTATTGTTTTAGAAAGAACAATGGGATTGTGAAAAAATTAAACTAATTTAATGTAAACTAAGTGATCACTATGATGCATGATCAGATGTACTATGAAGCAATTAACTTCTATTTCCATTTGCAATGCAAATTGATGTATACGATGATGTGTAAGTGCAAAATATCCATTGTATTTTCACTGTTAATATAATTGGATATTTTAATGTAATACAATGGATAATAATAAACATTGGATCACTTCATCCTCATTTTTAAATTTATTGTTATCGATAGTCAAATCATATCATGGTCATATATATCTTGAACACTGTGAGGTATATGATCATCAAATATGTCACATGAGATATATGTGTCGCAACCCCAAAGTAGGTCATTCGGTCCTAAAATTTAAACTTTATAACTGCATGTTTATAAGTAATTACTTCTAAAACAGTTTTCTCAGGGGGTTAACCACTTACCTAATAAAATATATTTTATCCTTACATACATCAATGGCAATCATGAAAAGTTATCTTAATTTCTAAAAATGTTAAACTCTTTTTCTAAGGAAATTTAGAAGAGAGTAACATAATGTAGGAAAAGAATGAAAGATACATTGATATTTTCTTTTGGTTGAAATTTAAGTCTAAAATAAGGTTGGAATTAGGAAATAAATCTTTGTTAAATTTATTGTTGCAAAAATCATGTATTCATTTGAAAAGACTAAAACATGTTTTGAATTATACAAATTATGAACTAAAATACAACAGAATGAAACAATAAAAAAGTTTATATACATTTAATATTTATCTGTAAATAAGACATAGATTGATTTTTTTTTAAAATTTTATAAATTTAGAAAAACAGTTGGGTGGAGATGGAAAATGAGTGGAGTCATCTAAGTTTAACTGATGTAAAACCATATTGTCAGTTAAGAAGTCTAAAGCAGCGCATTTTTTGGAATACCAACACTATAACCTGAAACATAACAATTTTCAGAAGCTTTTTAACATGCTTTAAATTAAATATGCACATAAGCACTTCTATACAACATTTAATATACATTGCATCAGATAGACATGTTTCATGTATGTTCGAGAAATCTAGTACACATATAGTAATTGTTATTACTTTATCTTACTTGTACATTTTGAAAATAAATGTGAAACATGCATAATTCATATATCAAAATAGTAGTTTGCTTTATGAATTTTTAACATACGTACGTAAACGTTTATCTATATGTCACACTCATTATACGTTTAAAAACGTAAAGTGAAAAAAACAATTGAAGGAGGAAACAGCTACCTAAATAAATTTAAATAATTAATTTTTTAAAAGATTATTGGAAAATTTAATTAAAATTCGAAGATCAACAAGATTGGAAAATTTTTAAAATGATAAATTACACACAAAAGAAGAGCATCTGTCACTCCTTCATCAGAGAGAATCATCTGTACTTCCGGCTGGGGTGAGCTGAACTGTACTTACATATATATTGATAAAGTGTCATTGTTCCATAGCTTACTGTTATCAAGCAACTGATAAACTATCTCAATGAGAGGAAGTTTTTCAAATGTACACTTTTCTGTTTTATGAATAAATATTCAGCGGGGAAATAAATATTGAAAATAAAAGTTTAAAATACATACAAGTGACCCAGGGATACTAAACGGTCAGTTGAGTAAAATACAATACTGTTTCACTACAGTACAATACAAAACTGTATCAAACAAGAATCCCATGGGCCTCATATGTCATCTGAGTATCCCGTAACAACTTTCTAACTATTGAATTTGATTCGTGTTTAAAACCAAAGGCCATGAAATTCACAATTTTGAAAGAGGCACCATTTCTTATCATAACTATACACCTATCATGTTTACTTTAGTTAC